TGCTGAACCTTTTGTGTTTATTACTGATGGAGTAAAGAGATGGAATGTTCTCGTACACTGTCTATAAGTTGTCTTCTCTCCTAACATGAAGGATCATCCATAGAAAGATGAATGGCCCTGGTCCTCAAGCCCATTCCTTGGATTCCCTATTAAGACCGACAAAATGTTTCATTAAATAGAAACCTGATCCAGTTCCAATTAACTTCAGAGAAAACTGAATTGTAATCTCAGCACCAGTTGGGGTGATAGATTCGTCAATACAGGCATTTACCTATTAAGAATTTGATGGATACCAAATTCAGGTCACATAGGGCTGGTTACACATCTTGCTATTATCAAGCTTTGCTCAATTTGGAGAAAGAAACATATGCTAGTTTTGAAAAGCTTTACATCCTATCACCACTATCTCAAGCCTTTTAATACATTTTCATTTTGACTTAATAGAAGTTGAGCTTAAGTTTTATGCTTTACCATAAAAATTTTAATATCTAAAAAGATTTATATTGTAAACTCTACTTGCTCTACTTGTCTGCTTTAAAAATTCAATAATAACTAAGTAATTTTTTCAGCAGATTTGGTAGTTCTTATTTTAGGTTTCTGTGTTGGCACAAGGTAAAATGTTTTTACAACATCTTTATTTCTCACCAAATATCCTTTCTATACTATTATTACTTAACATTATTTCAATCCAGACATACACGTAACTCATATTGGCATTAATAAGAATCCCACATGCAGGGCAAGGGTATAGAAAATATTTCTGTAATCCTATAATTTCATGAAAATTTTTCAGATTTTCTGGATACTAATGAAACAGTCAATAATTTTCACAGAGCAGAAAAAAGTACAGTAAGTATTATTATTAAAGTTTCTTATTTAACGAGTTTATAAAAACTTGCAAGGTTAGTAGACCGACATGTAACTAATGACAGAATCTATATCAAAGATATATTTGTTGATTTTTATAATGGTTGTAAAATAGTTGCCCTCTAGAGTAAAACAAGTGACCAACCTTTTGTCAGGGAAGGTTCCACTTCACCTAAGCCAAGAGTAAAGAATAAATGTCAGAGAAGAAATGTCATCATCATTAAAAAAAAAAATAAAAAAAAATCACACATTTTTCTCATATTGGCTCATTTTAGTAAAAAAGACAAAACAAAGAACAGTAAACTATTCTTTATATGCTAAATGACAAGCACTCTATTCTGAGATTTTTGATTTTTCATAATGTACCTCACCATACAGGTTTTCCTGGGTTTAGGGTAGATAAATTCAACATGCAGTGGTAACCAAGGAAGCATCAAAATCTATGTTTGTGCTTCTGAATGTTAACTTGTGACCCAATTTACAGTTTTCTTGATTTTATGCATGTTTCGCTGTTTTAAGGAAAGGTCCAGTCAGCATTTCCATTTTAGCTCCAAATGATAAAATGTAGATGCAGGTTATCAAGGTTGTAAATCTAGCAACTCTTCCAGTGAAGTCCAAGGCAAAAATTAATTTCAGTGGAAATATGAGCACTTGATTGCTTCAGTGTGTTATTCCACCTCCAGGTAGGACATGAAATTTAAAGGAGTTAGCCTGAATGACTGTGGCAAGTATGCAGCCTCAGATGCACTGACCACAGTGAACAGCGGGCAGGGAGTTCACATGAACTTGCTTTTTATGATATAATGCAGTAAGCTGCCTGCTGTCTTTTCACACTCGTAGCAGATACTGATGAAATTCCACTTGGGCCAAAGGCTGGTAGGACTGAGTCTCCAAACAGTGGCTATTCGTACCCTGAATTTTTGTATGTCAAGTATTTTATGACTTTTTATACTTGCATTAACACTTATCCACTGGAGTATTTGAAAGTTCTCTGCTTCTCTGGGAGCTATGAAATGATAAAAATGAACACTGTTGAAATTTTAGCAAGCTATTCGTATTTCGCCTTTTCCTTTTCTCAACCGTATAAGAGACTGTCTTTCTGTTAGTTGCAAAGCATATCTCAGAATAGGATGCCCAGTTCATAGACTTACATGTAGCAGCCTATCTATTAATATTCATATATGATGCTAATATAAAAAGCTCATGCACACATTTAGAAGGTAGAAATTTGATAACATCTCAAGTTTATGAACAAACTGGCAAAAGTCACATTCAATACATGTGCTTTTTAATTATATTCTGGTAGAGCCAAATAGAATATAAAATAAAGTACTATGAAATGAAGATGTCTCTCCTACACTCATTGCTTACAATGTGACTTGATGATCCACTACTGCACTGCTCATACTAGGGTACTACTTTTTCTATAACAGAAGGCTATTTATTTCCAAACTTGAAAGGATGGCAACTTACATTCATTTATCAGATGATGTCAGATGAAGAATATTACTATAATGCAGAAACATAGCTTCTATAAACTCATTTGCAATATGCCATCCAAAATCTGGCCACTTCAGCCAAAATGCTACTTTTTCTTTCTTTTTTCCTTTTTTATTCAACATATTCTTTTGTCATAAATATATCAAATTAAGAAGTTGTAAGTTTCTTGTTCTATCTTGTATATTTACCAGGGTTCTTTTTTTTTGATTAAAAGAAAGTAGCTATTGCCATTCTCTGAAGCAATATCCTGATGTATATTTTGGTTGCGGCTTTGAAGTATGTATAAATTAGTGCTCTTTACTTCAAGATGTACTAATGGTAATATTTAATTCTGACAGCTTTCCTGTAATGGTACATTAAACATGAGATGAAAGTTAACAAAGAGACCATATTACTGATTGGAATAGCCAGAGGATGCTTTATTAGCAACAATGTTCACTTTTCGTTTTGTTTGACCTTCTTGTCTGTGAGGTTAAAAGCTGAGTAAGCCAACATAATGCATGTAAAACAGCAGTTAGAGCAGTTACAGAAGTCTTTACATTAGAAATACCTTCATCACTGTCATCATCATCACTCCATACGATGTCAGACAGTAAAGAAAAAAAGCCATAAAGCCAATCAGTGGATTCTTCCAATGCCTCATGAATGATTCTCAATGGCTCTGTGCTGAGCTTGTGAACAGATCTTCCTGAGTGCAGAGTTTAAAACAAAAGCCGTTTGAAAAAAAAAAAAAACAGCAAACACTCCTTCAGTGATTAAAGTTAATCTTCATTTTATACAGGACTAATTATACTATCTACTTTAATAAAAACAAAGATTGTGAATGTTAATTTTTATTATTTGAAGACAGCTCTCCTTCCTGTCCAGGGCTGGTATAAACTGCATCCTACTATATTTGCTGTTTGCAGAGTGATTAGGGATGCAGTGCTGACACTGCACTCCACGTTCTGGCTCTTCTTCTGAGGCTTGGTTGGGCGAAGTATAAATACAGATTTGATTCTACCTCATATTAATCCGTTTAGATAATCCCTTCCTTTCAGCCCAGGTTTTCCTCTGGCTCAGACCCTCTGCCTCTTGAGGACTGTTAAGGATTCACTGTAGCCTATGTCTCTCTCCTCATTTCGCATGTCCCCTTGAGCCTCTTCCTTTACACAAGTCCTGGCTGGTGAAATTGCTAACCACAATGACCTGGCTAACCACACAGGCAGGTCGTATCATTGCCTGGAGTACTTTACATGAAGTACATGTAAAGGATGGGAAGAAGAAAGCTGTGTATACTCAGGTTAAAATAAACCTGAGTCCAGAATAAAAGGGAATACAAATCCAATTGTGACATCTGTATATTTAACCATGCCTGGTCCTACTGCTCCTTCAGTCAAGTAAGCTGGCAAACAAGGAAGCTGTGCAGTTTTAGGTGCTCCACCTTCCTGGGACCTCCAATGGAAGTAAGGCCCCTGTTCCCTACTGTATCCACACCCAGGGACAGCAACCATCAGTGGGTAGTACCAGCATTCCCTTAAAGGCTTTTCCAAATGTGATTTCACCAGATTTCTCCCTACCATGTTCCAGAGGAACTTTCCAGCCTCTGATAGAGTATATCTTCTGACCTTTCTGTCCAGCAAACTTTTACTTTCTTGAAATCTGTAACAAACACTGCTTAGGAAAAGGGACAACTCTCACTCAGTCTATGTTACTGTTCACTGTGCTTGAATAGGCAGACTGAATGATTGCCCTATCTATGTGAAGGTTTCCCACAAATGTAGGCAATCACAAAAATCACAAATGTGATTTGAATCATTCACCTCATCTTGTTTCTAGGCATTTCAATAGAAATGCATGCTCAGTAGCAAGATGGGAACAGTATCTCTGTTTACCACTATCTTTCTGTATGCAAATGTTTTAGTAGGAAGTTAAACTCAAGTCTCTCCAGAACTACTTCTGGTTGCAGTGTTCTGACTCACAAGCCAAATCTTAGCAGTAATCAGAAATTTTCTAACATGGACTTGCAGGTTACAAAGACAGGCAAAGTGCAGGCTTGAAGCAACTTCTTTGATAGCAGCAGTATGAACAGTTATTTTCTAAAAGTGTTATAATGAAATATACAAGTAACTTTATCTGAAATACAAATGTATCACTAAATAATTCCTTTTATTTCTAATTAGTTAATCTGAAACACAAAAGACCAGGCTGACTTTCTATTATTTGGCATCTGTTAGTAATGATGTAGACCAAAGAAATGTTTTGATTAATATTTTCTTGAAGATTGTATTATATATATATGCTACTAAACAATCAGGCACGTCAAATAAATTAATCATGTGCCATGATGAAATGACATAATTGAAAAGAAATATATGTGATCTCTTAATTTAATGTACTATTGTTTGCACTATTATATTCAGAACGATTGAGTAGTATAACAGGGTATGTGTACTTTGCTTCTCATAAGGCATTTTATTTTCACTGTCCTCATGCACTGAGATGTAGAAATTTTACTTTTTCAACGGATTTGCCACAAACGCTTTTCTCAATTTTTTACCGGGAGAATGAATACTTGTATTTAGGATATTAAAAGTAAATCTGAAACCCAACCCCTGATGTCATTCGCACTTTATTCTAATACAGAGGTGCTAAGGAATCCAAGGGGACTAATAGAAGGGACATTGCCAGAGAAAACTCAGCATAACCAAGGGTTTGATTCACAAGCAGGGATGGTATGACTTCAGACAGCTGCCTTGATTTCCACTCTGGCTATCCACCTACCCTTTACCCACTGGCTGCTTAGGAATGGCTCAGTTGCTTTTACAGCCACAGGCTTTTCCAGCTGCAGGGATTACAGCTGTAAACTAGTAAAAAATTGGTGTCAATTTATTTTAATATACTGATCTATCAACTAGCAATTCAAGAACTGCTTCACAGGTAGCAGAGCTGTCCCCCCTGGGCAGGCAAAGGAAATGCTTAGAGAAAAGCAAGATCAAGAGCCAAGGAAATTATTCCAACCACCCCAAGGGAAGCCATCTTTGCTGGTGAATCAGAGCCCTCAACATTGTATCCTGGTCTTTAATTCATGACATCTTCATAGCAAACTGTGAAAAGGGATTAGAAATTTTAAGTGTCCAGAGGCAAAATTCTCCATTGACGCCTACACTAACAGGCCCGAGTTGCAAATCCTGTTTAACATAGAAAGTTTAGGAAACTGGGGGCTGGGTAGAGGACACTTCACTGGTATTTGCAAAATTAAATTTTGCATACAAACAGATGCTCTAAGATCCACTTGCAATTTAATGCATAGGTCTGGAAAGTTGTCTCCTTGTGCATATGTCTTCTGTTTAACTTCTGTTGTATTTCCTAAATTTTAAAAAACTAGTGGCAACAGTAACAATGTGTCCTAAAATGCTTAAGAACATCACACCAGGTAATGCTGAAGTGAAAATTATTACTGATCAAATCCATGCTCTTAGCTCTCCCCACAACTTTGAAAATAGCAAGTTCTTCTCCTAGTAGCACAAAAACACACAAGAAGCAAAGGAAATAAAGCAGTTCAGGGTGTAACAAGTAAAGGGAAAGATGTCATTTCATGCACATGCAAAGAAAGATAATGATTTTCAGAGGATTTGCATACCCTTGCTTCAAGAATGAACAAGGTTTGAGCTTGGTATTTTGATGTAATTTAGTTTTTTTTATTTTACAAATCTCCACCAAGGGTACAGTATGGTAAATTTCTTTAGCATATCCCTGGATTCAATACATTCAGACTGGATTAACTGTCTTTTGTCTGACTTTTTGTTTCTTGGCAGACCTCAGAACACAATTTATTGTAAAACTAAGTTAACAATATACTTCTCTTGTGAGAATATGTTACATAGTATGCAATAAATAATTTGTGCCTAACATAAAATTATAAACTCTGGTTAATATTTTATATATGGTATGTGATGTACAATATATATCATATATTGTGTCTTTTATCTCATATATCATCTATTGTGCTGGGAGTAAAAGGAGCAGGATCTTGAAATTAAACTGTAAAGAGCATTTATTAATGCATAGTATTTCTCAGATAGATACATGTTGTGAAGTTCTACCTTTTGCTGAACTTGTAAATAAGGACTGAGCCAGTTCCTCTTTGATAATGTAGTAGAAAAATACTAAATGTATGCCGAAGGAGGAAGGAGGGGAAGGAAATAGATGATTACTCAGCAGATTAAACTCAGGGATGAAACATGCAATTAATATTGAAGAATTTTTTTGTCAGTACGTAATTTCATTTAGTTGCACCTTAGGTTCAAATTATCCTATCTGCCAAATGTACCTTAAAGCCAGGTGTTTCCCTAGTGATTTCAGACTCCCTTAAAAACCGGTGCAGAAAGACATACTGTGACCTTCAGAAGGCCAGTCTCTTGCTTTCCTCTCGCATATTTTTTAGGGTTATATGAGATAACTTTCAAAGATGTCTATTCCTTTCCATTGACTAGAAAGGGAAGGAAACCTGAAAAATTAGCACAGATAGTTTATTTTCCTGGGACTGAGGTATGAGACATAGATCCTATTAGTGGTGCTGTTTCATATTTAAATCCTTCTTTTCATTGTACACTTTGGTTAAGCATTTAGATTGGTATCTTTACATTCATGATTGATAGGAGTATTCACCTCGATAAATCGTTTTCATTCCAAACCAACACTGGTACCACCAGCAGTGATTTACTATAACATTTTGTTTTGTTATGGTCTGTTATTACTTGGTGCAATATAAGAGATGTTTTTCAGTAAAAAGTTCAGTAAAAGTTCAGCACTACTTTGCTGGCACTTTCACTGCTATGAGAATAAGTAAGTTTTGCCCTTTTTTTTTCCCCCCAATTTTTCTTTTTTTTTCCAAAGACTTTTTGGCAAATGTTGAAATTTGGAAGAATTAAAGCTACAGAGAAAGAATCCCCACCAAATTGAATGACTTTGTATACTACCTTTCAAAAAACTTTGTTGTAGGAAAACTCAGTTGAATTTCGTTGGGAATGTTTGTTACCTGTTGTAGATATCTGTAAGAAAATTTTGAAGTTTGTTTGAATTTTCTTCACTAAACATATGCAAATTTGATTAAAGCTTTTTTAAGAAATGCTTTCAGATGTTTTGTAGGTATTAAATACTTATGAAAACTCTCCATGTATTTTGAAACTGACTTTCATGATCATTACATCAAAATTAAACTGCTACAATTCTTTGTAGCTCTCCAGCATTACTGGTTCAGAAACAGTAACTTTTATTCAAAATGTGAGAACAGGAATTCTAACCAACTAATTTCTTCAGTTCTGAACTCTCCTCGGATCGCAATTTTAGCTCCAATTGATTTGAAAATAGAATTCACCCCTTTTATGGTAATTAACAAATCACGCTTGACACAGCTCTATGAAACCAACCAATGACAGACTTCAAAAGGCTTTCAATCAGCACTAGGTACATTCTTGAGACATAAGATAATTCTCTTAAATTGACAAAGTCACTTCAACTTCAGTAAAATTGTGGCATTTTGTGAACAGAAGAAACTGTTTTTTATGAGGACTGATAAGGAGTAAAGGACTCAGTGGCTTTTGGAAATAGGAACTGATTAATTACATGGTAGTGCCTCAAGCAAATTTGGTTGTGTTTCATGGTTTGTGTCATTTATTCCTGTGAAGTGCACAACAGAAAGTGACT